AATCATTCAAATTTTAAAAAAGAATATACAAAATTCTGTACATATTTACTAAAAATGTATAAAGAATCTTACATCTTTATTGTCTCTAAATCTCTTATCATCCTCTTCTTTCGGTGGAGGTGAAACGTCTTTTTCATTTTCTTCTATGTCATCTTGACGTCCTTCTTCTTTAGCTTGTTCGGATGTTACTGTTTTCGTAAGCCTTGCAAGTAATTGCGATTTCAGTCCTTTGCAATTTAAATTACGGGCAGCTAATTCTTGCCGTAATTCGTTTACCTGCACAAAAATTTTGATACGTAAATGTACGCAAAGCAATAAAAAACTATTTATAAATAATCATATTGAAACTGACATTCATAGACTTTGGATCTAATTCAGAATAGTGAGTGGGGTCCTTTTTCTCAGGCACTGGATCATCCTGAAAAAAAAAAGAAATTGTACATTATGTTACAGAAGTAAAGAACAGAATAGAAAACTACAAAACAGAAGCAGCCCCTATATAACGAAACGAAACCACTCCCTCTTCATTCTTTCATCACTCTCTATTTTACCATCACTCTCTCACATTATAATGATATACACGGTTCTTCATTCACGATGACCTTCAAGTATGACTCAAGTAACTGCTAGATTCTCATAGTGTCCTGGCTCTGGTGTCTGTGTGGTTGATAGGTTATGGATAATATCAATAATGTTGTATATAACGATTATCAAATGAAATTTTTGAATGATTTATCAATGATGGTGAAGGTTTCAGGAAAGGGAATGGCTCAGCTGCGCTCTTCTCCGAGCTAGGCTTGCTTGCTTCTCTTGTTAATGCATTGTGACTGCCAGTGGCTAAGGGAATACTTGCAATACATTACTCATTGATCTTTTTTATATTAGTTTAATTTTGAAACTCTTTAATAATCCAAAGATTTTAGAACAACTTTAGAATCTGTAACTATTATATAATTTTCACATCATTGAGTTTATCTTATTACTTTATATATATATGTATACTTTTTTTTATTATGAAAAATTTAATGTAAGAATGGTATATTTTGTATAAATATATACAGATAATCATACTATTTGATTTGTGGTTTAACTAAAGTTACAACATTATTCATATGTTACCGAGTCATCTTCTAAAAACATTTATGTACTGAAATAATAAAAATTGAATTATTGAAGTACAACAATCAACTATTTACATAATATGATAGCATTCAATAAAAAAAAGCCATTTAAGTGGTCTAATTGACAGTGAAGAAACAAATACTCAAAAATGAACGAATACTTGACGATAGGATCAATGAGCAAGTAGAGCCTATATTGAAAATCCAGTTTAGTAATGAGAAAACAGTTGCACGATTATATAATGTAATAAAAAGGTAAAAGTAATTATGGGATGATGTTGGCAGTGCCTTTTGATCAGCGACGGCAGCCTCATCAGTGTCATTGGCAGCATCCGAATCGTCAGGACTACAGGCAGCACGCAGCAATTTTCGTTCCAGTTGTTTCTTATAGCTGAGTTGCAGACCATCCCATTCCAATTTGGTGGGTACACAGCTCCAAACATCTGGGAGAAATAGTATGACGGTTTCAACGCGAGAGGGCACCACTCGCCCTGACTTGTGGGTCGTTTCTGCACGTCTGTAGTAGAGTTCCAGGAAGCGATACCTGTGCCGCAAGGAAAAACAATACCCAAACGTCAACTCAGGTTAATGCCGCTTAGCTTTGCCTTATATGCTAAGTGTTCGTTCGCTTGTTCGTAAAGCCCGCGCACTGCATACAAAGCCACACACAGCGCACAATGTAGACCGTTCGATAAAGCACAATTGAGTGGGTCACAACGATCATAGAACAATAGTGATGATCTTTCTGCCACGACTGCTCGTATATCATCATCTTGGTGCTCGATACAGGATCCAGTGCAGCAATCTCCATCGGTCGGTTGTGTATAGAACACATACATACCTCCTCTGTAGAGATTGAGCTACAACCTTAGTTATCAAGTCAGAACTCGCATTATAAGTTACTTTTTTTCACGGATGGTACATCTGCCGCATCTTTCTTAATGCTATAACATTCTATCTCATGTCTTTAACACACTGAAGTTATATATCGTTAAAGAATGTGTATATCATACATTTATGCAACATGGAATGTTGAATGGAGTCGAAGAATCCAAAATTTTCAACCGATGAGAATTTTTCTGATTTTCGCATTAATTTTTATTGAAGTAATTTAGTAATGTATCGGCGAATAATAAAACAATAATAGGCAGAGAAACTAGATAGCATCACCTTGCTCTTTCGATGAAGTGCTTTAAATTCTATATATGATCAAAATAAAGAAATATCCATATTTGAAGAATCGTACCACTGAGTGCAGCTGGACAGATCTATCCCCGTAAGCGCTTTACAAGTCCTCACTGCCGTCCTAATTAAAACCGATGGATCCTTTGCAGGATTAGGACCATCCAAAGAAGGACTCCAAGGCCCACCAATAGCCATTGTTTCATTTTTACCTCGTAAGCCTACCAAGAAATTTATTAAACGCGTAGGGTGCACATAATCGCGATCTGGATCTCTATCTTCAGATACACCACAACATCGTTTATAGATTTCTTCCATGGCAGGCATAGATATCAGCATAACCTATAAAATAATACACGTTGTTTAACGAAATTATACAGTGTATGTTTGTATGTGCGCACGCATATATACACGAACTTTTCTATGTACCAAAATATTGTCTGTGAATACTACACAACTTAAATACCAAAATAATATCAACAATTTAAAAGAGTTTTATGCAAGTACTTAAAATATATAAATAATAATTTTCAGACAATAAATTACATTTTAATGTATGGTTTTGTTAGCAAGATTTGATAGAAAATTGTTCAATTCAATAAAAGGAACATTGTGACTAACGATTTAAACTCTAAAAGTCATTGGCACAGTTTTAGTGTAATGGTATATTATTATTACATTGTTACAACTAACAAAAAATCGAATTCAGATACGTATGACATACAGTATGTCCGGTTTATCTCAGAACACGGAAGTATCTTGAAAACTACGAATGATACAAAAAAAAATGTCATACGAAAATTGTAGGGTATTTTTTTAAAACTTCGAAGTTTTACATGTCGCCGGTATTAGCGTTACGGGTGTACACCGCGGGTACAGATAAAGACATTTTACATAATGCTACTCAATAGTATGTCATTGCTAGAGCATAAAGTCACAGTTTTCCAAAGTTTCCAAGACATTGTTCGACTGAGTAACCTCCCCGTGGCGTACATCGGGTAACGCTACTGCCGACGACATGCAAAACTTCGAAGCTGATATCTCGATAATAATGTACGTAAAAACCACATGTAGTGTTTTGATAACGACTGGATGTCAGCTACAAGAATACATAATTAAAAATATACGTTTCCATTTAAAAACTTAAACATGACCTTTACACATATTTTCAAGGTCATTGCAGTCATTGCTATAATTTTCGTCTGAAGTAGTTTTTTGTTTCATTCGTAGTTGTCGAGATACTTACATGTTCTGAGATAAACCGAACATACTGCATATGATCTCTAAGAAATTTTGAATAAGGAAAAATTATACTAATTGATAGTTAATTCTATATAAAATCTTTACTTTATAAGATATTTGACATTAGATACGTTATGGTTTAAGAGTCTGTCTATTGACATAAAAAATTAAATGTACAATGAGGCTCCCATTATGCCAAAAAACATACAATATACAATTTTAAATGCATGTGTTGCTATTCATTAAACCATGATTACAAATAAATGCAATTAAATATTTGATTTATTATATTCAAGAAAATATAAGTTAATAAAAAACCATTTTGAATATCTAAAATAAAAATTTTGTAGATGTGTAAAAATGTTCAACTTCTTTATTTCCTTTCAATTACCATAATTTTTTTCTCATTAAAGGTCAACATATCATACCTATTTGTATTTTACGTTCTGTTAGCTGTAACAAGATGATAAAAAATCGACTACTATTGTAAAAGAATATACCGATGATCTTAAACATTCTATGGAAATGGGCGGTTGCGAAGACTTTGAAGGTTTAAAATACCAAGTACAATACTTATCCTACTGAATGCAACAATTTTTTTCTAACATTTTTCCTTGCCGGCGAAAGTAACGGACACATGAAACACCTTATATATTTTGTACAACCTATAACACATTCATTGCTAACATGTTAACACAATTTTAATTTTAACCCTTTGCACTCAGAATTCCAGTTATGGTATTGTGCATTCTTTCCAACAACTCGGAATGTCCATTACGCTAGCATATTTTTACATCCTCTCATTATGCACAATTATATGAGAACAACTTGCATCTACTTCTAGAAATTTTAATTATAATACCTGTTATCAGTGCATGTTTTTGAGCAAGTTCAAAGCGTTTAAGTCAGAGCGACAGAGGTGTGGACGAAGAGTGTTTAGGCTGAGCATTTGAGTTTATGCCGTAAAAACGAAGGGTGCGTGAACACTCAAAATATTAGATGGATGTAACTAAATATTAAAAAAAAAAATGTATGCATAAAATGAAAGAGAAAGAATGTGCGGCCGTAAGGATAAATAGTTGTGGAAAATACTTGTGCGAGTCAGTATAGAAAGAATTGAGCGTTACAGTCGAGAGATAGAATTTTGAATTTAGTAATTTAGTAATAGTTCGGAGTAAATTATTAGAGTTTTGTTTGAGTAAATCTATAATTTTAAATATATT